GAGGAGGTGGGGGGGTGGGAAGGGGTCTGCTGTGGGGCACGGGGTCTCCCAGGAGAGCACCCTTCAGAGCAGACCCATCACCCGTAGGTGGAGGTGCAGTGTGGGGGGGGGCGCTTTGTGAGCTAAGGGCCCCGAGGGGCTGTGGGGTCTCTCATAAATGTGAGACCGAGATGAACACGAGTGGCCTGGGTCCCCACCCGGCCTCAGGCCAGAGGGCAGGGCACCGCCGAGTTCTCCGCGGTCCTGAGTGTGGGAAAACTCCCATTGCTCTTTAACACACTTTGCGTTTTATGACTTTTTCTAAGTTTTTTGCTCTAGGGTGAGTGCACTTACCAGAGAGACAGAGAGAGGGAAAGTGAGACATCCCCCCGTCGGCCCGCCACGCTGCAATCCCTTCCCCTCCAGCCTCTCGGAGTTCCGTGCCAGGTGTCTGTCAAGGTCCGGCCTGGCACTCAGCCTGCGCAGTCAGCCAGACGGGGCCCAGCGCCTCAACCGCCTCGGCCCCTGCTGGCCCGGTACTTCCTGATAAAAGTTGCAGCAGTGTTTGGTAGGAAACTTGGCACGCAGAGGTTGAGAGAAGAACATCGAAATCACCCCAAACTCGAGCTCTAACCTCCTGCTGTGCCCCCCAGCCTCGCCTCCAGCACGCTGGGCCTCTCCTTTGCTGACCTCACAGGCTACGAGCGCTCTCCTCCCTCAGGAAGCGCACTCCTGACGCAGGGACACACGGGGCGTGACACTCCAGCAGGCACCGCCGGGCAGGACGTCCCTCTGGTCCCTGCAGCTGTGCTTGCGCAGCTGGGCCCGTGCAGTAGAGTCAGGGCGGCTTCGGAGACCGCCAGTCGTTGCGATGTGGACGACGCCAGCTCTGCGAGGCAGCCCCCGATGGGGAGAGACGTGCACCCTGACAGTGGCCGTCTGTGCTCAGTGTCCAGGGTGTCCGAATGGGAAGGGGCAGGGCCTTCGTGGCCTGACGCCCATGACCGGGGGGAGGTAGTCACACAGCCTGGGGCCCGCCGCCTTGTTCCCTCAGCCTCGCAGGAAAGACAGACCCCGTCTGGGGAAGAGGCTGGGAGAGAAGACGGAGGGCTTGGGGAATCGGGCTCCCAGCAATATGGAGGAAGAGCCTCGACGGGTGGGAGAGGGACAGGAGCCTCGGTTTGGTGGGTGCCCACGGCTTGGCCAGGCTGCTCCTCTGGGCAGACGTCAAGGGCACCAGCACTCGGCCTCAGGGCTCGGACCTGCTCCTTTCTCAGATGGGGTGGGGCAGCTGGTAGCGGTGCCCGCTCCTCCACTGCCGATGACAGATGCAGCTCCTCCCTGCCTCCCCCTCTGGCCCTCTCTTCCCATCTCCCCGTCCCAGTGTGCCCACCTTGGTGCTAAGGGACAGCAGGGGACAGCCTCATGGGGTCCAGTCTCTGTCCTCCCTCTGTCTGCTCTCTGGAGGTGGGCAGGGGGCCTGGGGCTGAACTAGGCTTTCAAGGGGACTCATGAATCACGGGGACCTCGGGAGCCCCGGAGACCTTCTTCCTGCTCCGGAGCTGCACAGCCTGGTCCCTGGGCTGTGCTTGGAGCTGGGACCCTGAGGGGAAGGATGCCAGGTGGGGAGACAGGCGGGCTCCAGGCCCCGGCCCTGCCGAGCAGCCAAGTGTGTTTCGGCTTTACTGGGAGAGGGCAGGGCACCCTCTTCTTTCTCTCTTCCTTCCTTCCTTCCTCTTTCTTTCTTTCTTTCTTTCTTTCTTTCTTTCTTTCTTTCTTCCTTCCTTCCTTCCTTCCTTCCTTCCTTCCTTCCTTTCTCTCTTTCTTTCTTTCTTTCTTTCTTTCTTTCTTTCTTTCTTTCTTTCTTCTTTTTCTTCTCTCTCTCTCTCTCTCTCCTTTCTTTCTCTTCTTTTTTTTTTTTTTAGAGAGATTTTTGCTATGGGGCGCTTGCATTCACTGGAGACACAGAGAGAGACAGAGACAAAAAGCACCCCCGGGGGGGATGGCCACACCACAATCCCTTCGCCTCCATTCTCCTCTCCAGCTCTTGGGCACGCACGTACACGCACCTGGTGTGAGTTTTAAGCCACGAGGCCTGGGACTTGAACCACAATCAACAACATGGGAGTCCATTGACGCAGCCATTATGCCAATGCTGGTCCCTAAAGGACCCTCTCCTAAATCCGAAGACTCCATACCCACCAGGCGTGTAGGCGATGGAGGCCTGGGGAGCGAGGGCACGGCAGGGGACTTTGTGCAGTTTCTCTCGTGGTCTTGACAAGATTCGTATAAACTCAGGCTCTTTATGTGAATCACCTTTAAACTATGCCCAGAGCCCCTAACCTAAATAAAGATGCCCACAAGCTGGGTCTGCTCACCCCCACCCCACTCCTCACTCCAAAAAAACCCCCAAAAAACAGAGAGCAAAAGCCACGCCCTCTGGCCTCCAGCGGGACACAGAGTCCTCGCTCTGGGCTGGGCCCGAGAGTACGGGACCGGCTGCTCGTTCCCCCTCGGAGAACCGGAGCCGGCTCTCGAGCTCATCCCTCTCCAAGCTTGTCTTTCCCTCCACCTTCCGCTTCCTGTGTCCTCCTCCTCCTCACACATGCCCTAAAGACCCACCTGGGGACCAGCAGATGGCATAATGGCTATGTCGCTGGACTCCCATGTAGTTGACTGCGGTTTGAGTCCTGGACCCAGCAGCTTAAACTCACACTGGGCTCTTGTGCATGTGTGCCCAAGATCCCGAGAGGGGAACCAGCAGTTAGCGTAATGGCTATTTCGCTGGACTCCCACGTAGTCGACCGCAGTTCGTGTCCCGGACCCGGTGGCTTAAAACTCACACCGGGCGCGTGTGCGTGCGTGCCCAAGATCCCGAGAGGAGAGTGGAGGAGAAGGGATTGCGGCGTGACCATCCCGTACAGTAAAAATCTCTCAAAAAAAAAAAAAAGAAAAGAAAAGAAAAGAAAAGATCCCGAGAGGAGGATGGAGGAGAAGGGATTGTGGTGTGGTCATCCCCCCAGGGGGTGATTTCTTGCTTTCTCTCTCTGTCTTTCCAGCAAGTGCACGCACCCTATAGCAGAAATCTCTCTTAAAACAAACGTGCCCACCCGGGGCGCTCTTTGCCACCTGTGGGTGTGTGGGTGTGTGACCCCTGCACTCAGAAGTGCTCGTTTGCTTGAGCTGATGCTTGCCATCCTGAAATTCTTAATAATTTGAACAAGAGGCCCTGCAAATGAGCAGACCACGGAGCATGCACGTGCGTGCAGGCGAGTCTACAGATGTGTGCATGCGTGTGTGCACGTGCATGCGTGCATGTGTATGCCGTCGAGCATATGAGTGTGTGCATGTGCATGCAGTGTGCCCACGCATGCAGAGGCCTGTGTTTGTGTATGCGTGTGGGCGCTTCTGCAGCTGTGAGGAAAGAGGTGCTGGGCCCAGGTCCGTTCAGGAGCCTCCATTGCCCCTTGTGGGGTGTAGAGTAGGAAAGAGAAGGAGATCGCATGGTTCAGTTGATGAGCGCGCCCACCAGTGGCCCCGAAGCTCTTTCCTGCCCTGTCACACCCTGTCACGCTTGCCAGAGATGTTCCTTTGCTTGTCAGCCTCCCCCACGCCAGGTCAGCCCCACGAGAGGGGGAGCCGTGCCTGACGCAGCCACCGTGCCCAGTGCTCAGGGGAGACTCGCCGAGCCCAGGCAGGTGCCCTCAGGTCTCCTACGCGCACGTCTCTGGGGAGCAACAGGGTCTAGTGGCCCCGGCCTCGGCCCGAGACAGGACCTCAGAAGCCTGACCTGGACCTAATGGCGCCCGCGTTCCCTTGCAGAGCCTTCTCCCGAATGTGTCTGAGGACTACGGCTACGACTCCACGGTGTCCATGGAAGACTATGTGAACGGCGACGACTTCTTCTGTGACAAACACAACGTCCGGCGGTTTGCGAGCTACTTCCTGCCCCCCTTCTACTGGCTCGTGTTCCTCGTGGGCACCGTGGGCAACGGGCTGGTCATCCTCGTCTACTGGTACTGCACGAGGGTCAAGACCATGACCGACACGTTCCTCCTGAACCTGGCCATCGCCGACCTCCTCTTCCTCGTCACACTCCCCTTCTGGGCCGTCGCCGCGGCCGACCAGTGGAGGTTCCAGGTGTTCCTGTGCAAGGCGGTCACGGCCATGTACAAGATGAACTTCTACAGCTGCGTGCTGCTGATCTCGTGCGTCAGCGTGGACAGGTACATCGCCGTCACTCAGGCCATGCGGGCGCAGTCCTGGAGGCAGAAGCGGCTTCTGTACAGCAAGATGGTCTGCGCCATCGTCTGGGTGCTCGCGGCCGCGCTCAGCGTCCCCGAGGTCCTGTACAGCCAGACCAGGACGGAAAACGGCGTGACCGTCTGCACCATGGTCTACCCCCGGGACGAGAGCACCAAGCTCAAGTCGGCGGTCTTGACCCTGAAGGTCATCCTGGGCTTCTTCCTGCCCCTCGTGGTCATGGCCTGCTGCTACACCGTCATCATCCACACCCTCCTGCGAGCCAAGAAGTCGTCCAAGCACAAGGCCCTCAGGGTGACCGTCACGGTCCTCACGGTCTTCGTGCTGTCCCAGTTCCCCTACAGCTGCGTCCTGCTGGTGCAGACCATGGACGCCTACGCCGTGTTCATCTCCAGCTGCGCCACCTCCATCAGCATGGACATCTGCTTCCAGGTCACTCAGACCGTCGCCTTCTTCCACAGCTGCCTGAACCCTGTCCTGTATGTTTTCGTGGGGGAGCGATTCCGCCGGGATCTCATGAAAACCCTGAAGAACCTGGGCTGCATCAGCCAGGCCCTGTGGGTCTCCTTTACAAGGCGACAGGGGAGCCTGAAGCTGTCGTCTGCGTTGCTGGAGACCACCTCGGGCGCTCTGTCCCTTTGAGAGATCTTTTCTCGGAAATGGGTCCTTCAGGAAGCAATGAGGAATCCAGGCACGGTCCCCCACTAATGGTACTCATCGGTAACGAGAAAAGGAAAAGAGGAAAAGAAAAAAAAAATCGGGAAAGGATGAACCTTAGGAAGAACATTAAGAATCTGCAAAGCAGCATCAAGGGTTGAGATTGGCTGGCCGCTCCCCGAGGTTGCCGAGTGACTCTTGGCTTGTGTGAGTGCAGTTTTCAAAGCAGGGATGCCTGGCAGCTTTGCACGCCACCTGGCTTTGCCCCTTGCCCAAGCATTGGTGCAGCCGGGCTCTGGAGGAGGCGCGGGGCTTTCTCAGTGTACCACCCAGAGCTGTGCCTTCGGCTCTGATGCCACCCCTCCCACGAGGAGACTTGGACACACTGGCCACTTCTGTTGTCGCCAGGAGCAGAAAGCTTCACGAGAACTCCCATCTCGGAGACGTCTCTGCCCATGCCAGGTCTTACAGATCCTTGGTCTGGAATCTTTCCAAACAATGCTGGATCTGATTCCCCTAGGTCTCTTTTGTCCTATCTGAGCCAGTGAGGGTCCTTGTTCCTTTCTAAAACTGTCTGCAGGCTTGGTCAGCGATCATGCCAAGCCACGCAGTCCACTGGAGTCCAGTCCCTTTCCATGTCCTGCTGGGGGTTCTGGGACTCCATGCCTGGCTGCAGGGTTGAGCGGGGCAAGGGTTCTGCTTGTCCCCTGGTGCTGTGGCAGTGGTACTCACAACCGGCCCAGGGAGACTGCAACCTGGGTCAGCGGGAACTGGCCTTGGCTCTGGGAAGGGCCTGCTCCACTGCACGGTGCTTGCATGGCCAACTCGGGCCTCCCTCTGACCCGCTGGTCCTCCTGGCTCCCTCTCAGGGGCTGCTGGAACACGCTCTGCCTGCACGCTGCTCCTTTTCTTACTCTTCAGGGATAGCGCTTTTAAAGCTTTTAACGTAGAGATTAGGCTGGAAAAAAATAAATAATAGAACTCACTTCTGCTGTGTCTTCTTTTAGCTATTTGGCAACATCTCACTATTGGGAGAGCTCTTTCTAAGGAACACTGAAATGCTCACCGCCCGACACTTTCTGTGCCTTGTCTCAATGCAATTTTATAAGTTCTCCATAGGGCGTGTGCGTTTGCTGGAGACAGAGAGTGAGAAGGAAAGTAGGGACTCACCCTCGGGGGTGGCCACACAGCAATCCCTTCTCCTCCATTCTGCTCTCAGGAGTTTGGGCACGCACACACGGCTCCGGTGTGATTTGCAAGCTGCTGGGTCCAAACCGTGCTGTCGGCCATGTGGGATCCAGCTGCCTTAACCACCCCGTCACCTGCTGGCCTCAAGTTGGCCTTCTTAATAAATACATTTAAAGTCAGCCCACCTCAGCATGCATGTGCAAAGCAGGCGTGTTGCTCTGAGCATTCAGCCGGTGTGGCTAGAGACTCGGCCTTCGGGGACCTCTAGGCCCACAGAAGGCGCATGCGCTCGTTCACTCGCTCAGCAAAAGCTCTGCACCTGTGCTCCGAGGAAGCCCTGCGCCCCCAGGCAGCACCAGGGTCCCCGCCCTGACAGTTACACTCCACGAGATGAGAATGCCAAGGGCACGCACATCCTGATCAGGGAGGGTGGTTAGGAAGTCTCTGGCCGGGGATCCCCTTGGAGAATGGCATGAGCTGGTGCCCTCCTGTGGTGTAGACACGGTTCTGTAGGACCATGGAGTCTCCCGGGTGAGCTCCTGGCCAAGCGGCTTTGCGTACGGGCCTGCCTGGGTTCCTGTAATGTCAAACACCTGCCACCCCCAGCCCCCCGCCCACCACCACTGGCTGGGTCTGCCTGGGTCCCTGCGTCACTTCTCTGCAGACCCTTCATTGTCTGGACCCCGGTTCTCGTTCTTGAACTGGAACTGCTACCTGGGAATTCTGGACAGCACGTACAGCCCTCCTGGGAACCCACGGGCGCGGGGACAGTAGACTGTCCCTGCTTGCCCTGCCCCAATGAGCCTTTACACCAGCCTGCTCTCCTGCCTCTGGGGGTTTGGCTTCCACCTGCCTCAGAAAAAGTCCCTTTCTCATCGCGGCTCAGGGCGCAGTGTTTGCCTTTCAGATGTGAGTGGGTGGCGAGAGATGATTTTTCCCACGCACCTTCAAACCGAAAGGGCTGACCCGGGGGCAAGTGCCCTTCTGAGTCACCGGGGAGCCTCTCCACCTGCCGGGCAGCTGCAGTGGGGACACGCGGGGTGCCACTGAGTGCTGGGCGTCTGCAGACGCTGCGTCACCCCGGATTGCCTGGAACTGTCTGTGCACTTGGGGACTTGAGGACCTGAAAGTGGAGACTGGTGCTCTTGGGTTACTCAGCGGGCGCGAGGGTGCAGGACCTTGTGACGTGCCATCGGGGGTGTGCGCTTTCTGGAGAGAAATCGGGACCGAGAGGGAAGTGAGAAATCAGGCCCCGGGCGATGGCCACGCCGCAATCCCTTCTCCGCCGTTCTTCGCTCAGGATCTTGGGCACATGCACACGCACCTGCTGTGAGTTTCAGGCCACCGTGTCTGGGGCTTCAACCATGGTCTGCCATGAGGGAATCCAACGCCTTAACCACCACGCGCGATGCTGGCTCTGCAATGGGGATTTCGACACGGATGTCCCTGCATGTGGCACGCGTCAGATGGGTCAGTCGGTCCCCATCTGCCCCAGCTCACAGGCCATCAGGGCTCTGGAGGGACGACGTGTTAACAGTAAGGCCCTTCTGCCACGTTACTTGGGTTCTGGAATACAGCGGTCTTCCAGCATTCTGGCCTGGTCACTGGACAGCAAGGGGCTTGGTTTGGAGGCCTCTTTACAGAGAAGGTGCAGGGGTCAGATCGGGGGACTGCTCACGGCTGCCCTCTGCCCTCCCCTGCCGTGGGAGTGCTTTAGGAGCTGCCAGCCCTGGCAGAGTTGCCTGGCCACTTGGAATCTGATGACTTTTTATTTTTTAAAGAATTTTATTTAATTTTATTTATTATTATTTTTAAAAATTTGCTATAGAGCACGTATGCTCACCAGAGAGAGACAGAAAGGGAAAGCGAGAAAGCAAGCCTCCAGGTCTGGGCCTTGAACCGTGGTCAGCCCTGTGGGAGTCCAGCACCTCAACCACCGTGCCACCTGCTGGCCCTCAGATGACCTCTCAGCTGCCTCAGGGCACCGGGACTGACCAGCATCGTCGTCCGGCACTGAGACTTACAGTCAGGCACCGGCCGACACTGCGGCCGGGAGAGGGAGGAGGGACATGGAGATGACTTGGGCGCAGTCCCCACCCTTGACCAGAGTCAACGAAACACCCCCTCCTGAGCAACCGGAGAAGAGGCCGAGGGCAAGCTGGGGCAGGAAGAGGGCTGGAGGTGGAGGGAGTGTGGGGAGGCCCCTGGTCACCCCCGGATGTGGGGTATGAGTGAGTGGGGTGGACCGCCCAGTCCGACCTCCAGCTGACTCACCCGGGCCCGCGTGCAGACCTCTGTGGACCCCGCGAGGGGAGTGGAAGCTGTGGTGGAACTGTGGCTTCTTCCTTTGCCGGTGGCCCACACCGTCTAGGTCACCCCTCGGCTGGGGGCACTGCCTCAGAACGCCCCACGGACACCAACAGCCGAGGAGACGCAAATCCTGTCTGTAGAGCAGGGTAGTCTGCACGTACCCTGGCAGCGTCTCCTGCACTCCGTCCTGTTACTCCCTCCTAATACCATGTCAATGCCATGCTGTTTTGGATTTTGTTGCTTTTTTATTGTCGTATTATTATTTTATATTTTACACACACACCTCCACCTCCCACCCCCACCCCCAATTATTTCGACACGTGGAGGCTGAAAACGTGGATGAAAACCGTGGCTAGAGGCTGACTACCGGCTAACTGTGGTTTGAGGCCCTCCGCGCTTTCTGCCCAGCTCCCTATTCTGGTAAATGAGAAAGTGTGCCCTTGCTTGAAGCGCTCCGGGAGTCCCGTGGGAGACCTGGGGACGTGGAGCTGAGGAAGCTCCCCTGGCAGGGAAGGATGCGTCAGACCTCGGGCAGGCGAGGCTGCTCACGGAGGACACCAGCAGCGGCCCAGGTGCCGGGTCACACGGTACCTTCTCAGAGCACGGGCTGGCTCGAGCCCCTGGAGAGGCCACAGTGAAAGATGCTGCTTCCCAGCTGGGCAGCTCAGCTCCACCCAGGCCTAGGTAACCCCACCCCCGTCCGACGATCTTTTCCAACGGAAGGAAAGACAGGACTACCCTAAATGTCATAGTGTTTATTGAAATCCTGAGGTTAAAAAGTATTTCCAAACAGTGCAGTAGATACTACAAAGGGGTATGTTTTGGGATACAAAGTTTCTCCCCCCACTGCACGGGCGGGTACTGCTAGGGTGGGTGTGCTTCTGGGTAATTCTTTGGCAGATGAGGATGAGCTGGGTTCTGAGCCCCGCCATCCGTAAGGCCACGCGAATGAGGATTAGTGAATTAAAGTGCGGTTCCCATTGCTAACCTTCCCACTGGGCTGTGGGTATTGCTCTGTAGCCACCAGGGATAACTCAGGGCACGGGTTCTAAGGAAGCCTTGTTATCAAAGACACAGCCCCCAATTTAAAGGTACCCCTTACTATTTTAAAAAAGTGCTTCAGAGGGAGAAGGGAATTTTAGTTCAGTCTCTCCTGTTCTGGGAAGAACTGCAGTAAAACGAGAACACTTACCCGGGTTCCCCGGAGTGCTCCGGGTGCTGGTAAACACGGATAACTACCCCGCGTCCTCTGCGACTGTGACCACCCCAGTTTAAGGGTTACACACGGCTTCTCTCTCCTTTCATTCCCCAACTGTCTACGCCGGCGTGGCTTCTTGGCCTCTAGGATGCTGATACGTAAAAGAGCAAGGTGGGTTTTGGAAAACGAAGCCTCTAACCCACACCGGTGGACAGCTCGCCCTGTCATACAAAGCAGGCTGAGATTCCGTCCCCGAATGGCGACTTCCTCGTCTGGGCCTGCAGTGCTTTCACTACCTCAGGCGACAAGCGAACATTCCAGAAGCACTGCCTCCTGTTCTTCAGTTCTACTGTGTGGCTTTTCATTTCTATTTTCCAGACCCCACAGGGTTTTTGGTTCCAGATTCCCGCTTCAGAATTTCCTGGCCTGCACTTCGTCCTGTCCCCTGGGGGTCCAGCGTGCTTAGGTCAACGGCGCTCTGCGGAGCCCACTCGGATGCGGAGGACAACCCGTGCTGGTCTGCGGACGAGCGTGCCCAGCCAAGGCTGGCATGTTTCCCGCGTGGTGCCAGCGAGTGGCTTTGGTGGCAGTGGGGTGCGAGGCAGTTGGCGCCAATACTAAAACGTGGCTGTTAGCCATCCAAAAATGATCTTAAAAACCCAAACAGCGGTCTGGGATCCCAGGAGGCTTCCCGCGTGCAGATTTCTAGTGTGGCTTGGTCCAGCTGGAGCCAGACCACTGTCGGAGGGGGGTCTTCAATTGTCACTTGCATTTTTTAAGTGCCCCAGCCCCCACACCTCAGCAATGGGGACCTGGTGAAAATACAGCTGTTTATAAAGTCACTCTTATAGACTCGGGCGTGATCTCTAGTGCACAGCAAACTCGAGCCCGAACCCGAACAGCAAACTAACAGTGCAAATGTCTGTCCAGCACAAAAACAGAAACACGTTAACCGGGTCAGCGCGAGGAAGTGGCCGCCGGGCTCGGGTGGCCCCCGGGCTTTGCAGGCGGCCTGCCCTGGAGTGGTTCCCATGGCCTCACAAGGCTGTTTTTTAAAGCTGTGATTAGTCCCCTGCCCTGACAAGGACAGAAATTCAGAATGGAACTCAGGTGGCCCGTCCCAGGCTCTAAGCACACCAGGGCTGTGTGAGTGGAGGGTCCTGCTGTGGGTGGCGGGGTCCTGGACCTCTCTGGGAAATCTTGCTACTCTCTTGTTGGAAGAATGCAGGGATGGCTGATTAGCCCTTGCAGAAGGGCGGCTCTTGAATTATCTCCGGCCCCAGGGCAGGCCTCAGGGTAGAAGCAGCCCTGGGTGTGTTCTGTCCCTGTGCCTAGTGGGTCACAGCCCAGATGGCTTTGGCACCCCACGCCCCACTAGAACCAACTGTAGGAGCCCAACTCGGGTTTCAGTTAAAGGTTGAGTCCCTCCCAGAAGCTGCCTCCTGACTCCTGCCCCCGCGGGTGGAGAGACTGTGGCTGCTGGTGTGAGGGGTCGTCTGTGTTGAACTTGACCCGGAAACCCTAACCCATTCTCGAGCCTTGAAACCTGTGAGACAGGGCTACACATGACTAAGGGCAGCTCTGGGAGGGGCTGTGACCAGCCTCTGCGAACCAGAGACAAAGAGACTATCGAAGGCAAGCTGTCTGTGCTGGAGAAGAAAAGGGCCACCAAACAGGAAGACGGCCTGCTCCTTGTCCAGGAGAAGGGATTGGGCCAATCTGCTTTGAGGAGAGATGGCTCCTGGGTGTTGGGGCGGGCTACAGCAGGCTGTGGGCGAACAGGGTGCTGGGAAGTCTGGCAGGTGGGCCACGGGGACCAGGACTAAAAGACGCCTCTGCTTACCCTCTGGCTTTGGCACACGGTTACCCAAGACTTAGCTACAAAGGCCGGCTTTCGCAAGTGGTTCTTGCCCTGCTTTGACCAGTGGTGAGCGCGCGTCTGCAGGCGAGATGGCCGTCAGCGAGGGCGTACCAAGGCCAGCGTGCCCGCCTGTTGGTCACAGCAACCTCTGCAGCGTCTGGGCGTTAGCTGCGGTGCACTGGCCTGGCGGGGTCTCAGGCTGGTGGCTTTACTTTCCTGGATTATCTTCAGTTCTGATTCTTAGGGAGGAGTTTCTGGCTAGTGCAAGGCCCAGCTGAGTGAAAGGCTTTGCCTGAGGATAGACTCACTCAGAAAGAGGAGCCAGGAGGACAGGGCAGCTCACAGGCCGCTCCAAAACTGGCGTTCTGGAGCGGCCCCAGGTCACTGCGGCAGTGAGGGACAGATGCATGACAGCAGCCCCAGCGCCCGACTCACATGAGGGCCCCGTGGCCTCCTTTTCTTGGGATACCGAGGGCCTTCCAGGGTGCGGGGAGGGCACCGGCTCACGGTCACCGGGATGCTTGCCTGGTGGGGCAGAGTGGGGCGGAGTCGGGCACTCTCCACAGCAGAGCTGGGGCGGCCCTGACCTGTGACGCTCATCCCAGGAGGAGGCCTGGAGCCAGCTGTGCTCTTGGGAGAGGCTGCAGGTCCCCAAGAGCGTTCCTCTGGGTGCGAGGACAGCTGGGCTCTTGTCAGTGGGAACGTCACTCGAGCCCCTGGCAGTGACAGGCGAAGGTGGCTGGAGTGCAGGGCTGCGTCAGGGTGCACTCCTGTGCAGCCAGCCTCTGAGCCCCAGCCCTGGCCTCTGAGCCCCAGCCCTGGGCCTCGCCTGTGGGCTGCAGGGAGCCCGAGCTGGGAGCAGCTGCCCCGGCTTTGTTTTTGTTTTCTGTTCTGTTCTTAGTGCCCCGTGCAGCGGCGAGGGCGGGCAGCATTGCCTACAGGCGGGGGGAGACGGCTGAACCCGGCACTCAGAGCTACGGGAAGTCGCTCCCGTCGTAGACCACAGGCCGGTCCACTGTCAGGTGATAAAGCACTTTCTTGGAGACAAACCTGAGGAGACAGAGATGGCAGGGGTGTCACCTGAGAGCCCAACCCAGAGGTGACGCAGCTCCTGGAGACTGCGGTTCTGCGATGCCCCGGTCCTTGGGGCCCGTGTGCATGGACTCCTGCAGCGCTGCCCTCCCACACTCCTGCATGCCTGGCGGGCTCCCGCCCTGCCCAGGGCCGGAAGTCCTGGGACAGCACCATGGAGGGCCCCAGGGTTCGGGCAGACAGGTCTGGCCAGAGCAGCAGCTGTGAGCCTGCCCTGGCTGCTCTGGAATGAGCTGGCCGAGGGACACACGGAGAGGAGACGGGGCAGGCTCGGGGTGGGGAGCACTGCGGAGGCCAGCACGGGCTTCCTTCTGACTTGGAGTCAGACAGTTTTGCTGCCCATGGCTTCAGACTCCGCAGCGGCCCCTGAGCTGACCTCCACGGGTGGGGGCTGGAGTCTGTCCCCGCCCATGGCCACCTGCAGTGACACACCGAGGGTGCTCTGGGTGGGCCGGGCAGGTGCAGCCTGGAGCAGGAGGCGAGCACCGTCTCCGAGTGGCAGTCTTGTGCTGCAAAGCCTCTGTGGGACGGGGACCTTCCCACACAGCAGGGCCGAGCCAGGAACACCACCGGGAGGAACACGGCCGAGGACAGGGCTGTTCCGAGAGGCTGGGAGCGGCAGCCCTACCTGGAGAAGGTGTTGTCGAAGATGAGCATGTAGACGCCAGGCGTGCGGACCTTGAGCTGGCCCCGGATGCTCTCCCGGTGGGAGTTGCAGCGGGTCATGGGGATGAGGACCTGGAGGGAGGGGAGGGGAAGCCGTCACCGATGTCACTCTCCCGGTGGGAGCTGCAGCGGGTGACAGGGATGAGGACCTGAAGGGAGGGGAGGGGAAGCCGTCACCGAGGCAGGGAGGGCCGGGCAGGCCCTGTTTAGGGAGGAAACTGAGGCCCAGGGAGGCTGAGTGCTCCGTGTGAGGTCACGGCTGAGCAGGGCTGGGCGCTGTCACACCCTCATGGCGGGGCGGGGGGAGCCCGTGGGTGGGGCTTCATCTAGAATGTGAGCCAGTCAGCACCTTGGGGGGGCCGCACTCCCCACATGGAGGAGCAGCCCCTTCCTTTTTTTAAGACAGATTTTTGCTACAGGGTACGTGCGCTCACCAGAGAGATGGACAGACAGACAGACAGAAATCACCCTCCCCCGGGGGAATGGCCTCGCCACAATCCCTTCCCCATTCCTCTGCCGGCATCTTGGGCACGTAGACACACACGTGCCTGGTGTGAGTTTTAAGCTGCTGGGTCCACGACCTGAGCCAGTCTCCATGGGAGTCCATCTGCTGGTCCCAGGAGCAGCCCCTCACAGTGAAAGCCGCCATTCAGCCGTCTCCCTCAGTCCCAGGGCTGCCCCTGCGCTCTCAAGGCAGTCGGAGCCCTCTCTCCCCTGGGCACTCTCCTCCAGGCCAGCGCCTGGCTCCACCTGGGGCTTCTCCCGTGGCCCTGCTGTGGCTGTGGCCGGGCTGGTCCATGTCCCAGGACTCCCCATCTCCGTGTACCCTCTGCAGTGACCTCATGTGGACAGCAGGGCTGGTGCACGACTGTGGGCACCCGCGGGCCCTGAGCTGCACTGCCGTGGGTGGCTCTGCGGCCCTGGAGTTACAGCTCCACTACCCTGCCACAGATTAGAGCCCGGTCCTGGCTCCCCCCAACCCGAGGCCCCAGGCAGGCTGTGGAGCTAGCTTCTCTGGTGAAAGACGGGTCCTCCAGCCAGAGAAGGCAGGGCTGAGTCCGGGCCTGATCTGTCCCCAGGCCTCAGGCCGGGGGCCTACACACGGGACCCTTGAGGTCTTGTTTATTGCATGAAGTGCCTCCCTGGGCCCACAATTTCCAATGTCCACGCTCAAGCTCTGCCCTTAACAGAGGCACCCCGGCCTCTCACCTCCCCACAACTGCTGCGCCTGGCTGCTCCCCCAGGGCCCTCCTTCCCTATTACCGACCCCAAGGGAGGCAGGGTGCCCTCCCCAATCCCCCCACAGGCAACCCTGGGGCCTGTCTCCCCATGCTCAACATCCATGCTGTCCCTTTGTCCACCCCCACGGGCCCAGGAGCCGGGCAGACAGCAGCAGCTCAGCGAACACTGTGCAGACTGCAAGGACACAGCTCAGTTCCTGTGTCTACACTTGCGGAGCCTGAGACCTGGGTGTTGCCATTCACACTGCACTGGGGCTTCCTGGAAGGCCTGGGCTGGCTGGAGCAGAGACCATGTGGCCCCATGGCGGGCGGGAGAGCGGAGGAGCTCCGGAGTGCCCAGTTTGTGGGTCTCTTCTGCCCCCTGGTGTCCACCATGGGAATGACGGTGGCAGTCACCGCCTGGAGCTGCCCAGAAGGCAGAGAGGAGGGGGGGTCCCCTTGGATTCCTGGGGGTACCAGGCTGAGCAAAGGACAGGCCCGGGGCCCAGCCAGGTGTGGGCAGATGGAAGGCCAGTCTGGACCCCTGACCTCCCTGCCATGGACATTCTCCAGGCTCTGACCTGCAGACTGAGTTGGGCCCGGACCTGAGGGTGAGGAGTCCGTGCCGGGCCGTGGCACTGCGGTCAGCGCTGAGCTGGCAGGCTGGCTGGCCACACCGCAGTTGCCCACTTCCCGCTTTCTCCGTCATGAACTGGAGCTGGGCAGACACCCTCCCTGCGCCCTGTCGGTGTGAGCCTGCAGTCACCCCCGGGGGGCCCGGCGAGGGAGGCTAAGATCACACCCAGAGCTGGGGGAGAAGGGCCGCAAAGCTAGGGTGTGGTGCTGAGGCTGGAGAACACGCTGAAGCAGGTGCCAAGAGAGCGGGCCACGGGGCAGCAAGCCAAGGCCATGCCTCCTCCGGGGCGGCTGGAGCGTGGCCCTCTGCCTCCTGCCACCTCTGCCCCTAGCCCCGTGCCCACCTCATCCTCCAGCCCAAGCCCTGGAAGGCACCGTGGTGCGGGAGGGCCCAGTTGTGCATGGGCTGCACAGAACAGCTTCCATGTGGCCTCGAACTGCCCCTTGCCTGGACCTGCCACTCCTTCGCCTGGGGCCTTTCACAATCCACTAGCACCGGGGCCGCCCAGGACCCGGCCTCAGGGCCAGTCACACGCCCGACTGCCCTCGCTGTCCCCCAGTCAGAATGGTGTCCACAGCTCTCCCAGGACCCCCTGCACAGACACAGGCACAGAACTTCGACCCCGAGTGTGGGGTCTCCTGCCCTCACCCCATGTTGAATCTGCCACCCTGGAGCCTGTGCACCCCACCCTGTCTGCTCTGAACCCTAACCCAAACACCAGCGGTTCTCAACCCTGGCTGCCGCCTGGACACTTGGTCCCTGCCCTGGGATTTTGACTGACTTGGGGAAGCCCAAGGGGGGGCGTTACGCTCGCACACATACCCAGTGGGATTTTCAAGCCACTGGGTCCAGGGCTCGAACCATGGTCGACCGTGTGGAGTCCAGCACCTTAACCACCACACCCCTGCTGGCCCAGAGAGGTGGGTTTAGAAGCTCTCCAGGTGTTTCTCACGTGCAGCCACGGATGAGAACGAGGGTCTGGCATGGCAGACCAGCTTAAGGACCGCAGCCGTCCTGAAATTAGGGAAGGCCTCTAATGAGAACCACCTGCCCGAGTGCAGAGTCACGGGAAGGTCAGCATGAGGCCTGGTGGGTGAGAGACCGGGAGAGGGGGACTGACGGGGTGGGGTGGTTCCCCAGGGACAGCGACAGACTGAGCGAGCGCAGGAGTGTCTGCTCCTGCTGTCCCCGCCTGTAACCCCAAGGGCACGCTGAGCTTTGGGACAGAGCGTGGTGCTGATGGTCTCCTGGAACCGGTTACAGAATAACCTCCCTTCTCCAGCCTGACCCTGAGAAGCGGCAGCTGGACTGTCTGCCTGGTAACAGGCCCCACCCCTAGAACGTCATAGCAGTTCGGGAGCTGGCACCTGCCAACGAGACTTCAAGCTCGACCACCCTAGCGAGCTGGGGTTATCTCCACTGATGACCTGCAGGGAGACGGTGCACACCCTGACCTCACACAGCGAGGGCACTCTGCCCAAGGGGACTTGCTCCTGCTAAACCGAGTTGCACATCTGTATCCCCCTGGGCACCTACAGGTCTGTCCCGAGCCAGACGGCACGGCGGAGACCTGGGACGTTTGAAGACGGCTTTGTGGGCTCCTGGTCTCTCCTTCCTCCGCTGCTCGAGCTGCTCCGCAGGGCCCGGCCTAGGACGCTCCAGGCAAGGCAGCCCAAGGAGGGCAGGGTGGCCACCGGCCCGCTGTGGGGTCGCCCGCCGGGCACCCGGCTGTGTCAGGGAGCCCGCCTCCCCTTACACTGCTCCAGCGGCGTGTCCTCGGCCTCCCGGAAGACCACGCTGAAGGAGATGCTCTTGGGGTCGGAGGAGAAGACCCAGCCGATGGTGAGGCCGGCCTCGGCCACGGTGACGGCGATCAGGCTGTAGGTGCTGGAGCGCACGAACAGCTCCCGGTTGCCCTCCCCGAAGCCGGCCACCTCGTCCACTGTGAGCGGCAGCTTGATCCTGCGGCGGAACACAGACGGGCGGCCTGGCTGAACCCTAACCCAAACACCAGCGGTTCTCAACCCCGGCTGCCCCCTGGACACTTGGTCCCTGCCCTGGGATTCTGACTTAGTGACCCCCGCCCACACAGGGGTCTCCCTGTACATGCTGGGTGCACACGTGTGTGCCCATGACCCTGGCTAGCTGAGCTGGGGGTGGATCGTGTGTGAAGACCTGCCAGGGCTGCTTCTCTGTCTCTCTGTCTCTTCTCCTTATAGAATAAACAGATTAACTTGTAAAAAATCAAAGTAGATCCAGAATCTGACCTTGCTCCTGCCAACAGCTGGCCAAGGGGCAGAACCCCACAACGGCCTCCTGCCCTCCCTCACCTGGGCCGGCTCCTGCAGTCGACTCCCCACATGGCCACCAGGGGGAGCCTTTTCCCAATAAACAGGATGAAGTCACTTCTAGCAGCTCCATGGAGGCGGGGTCTCTGCTCTGTGAGCTGGTGTGTTCTGAGCACCCAGGGCAGCGGTGCGAGTCCGGGGTGGCCCAGTCTGCCAGGCAGCCAGGGGTGACCCACAGAAAGCAAGGGCACCGCAAGAAAGAGCTCGTGCCCTGGCGGGACTTTCAGGGTGCAGCTAGCTCTGGGATGTCTGTTTATGCCAAAAAATTGCTATGTGTGTCTTAAGGAGACGGGAGGCTGTGTGGCTTTTCTAAATCTATTTTTCTATTTTTCTTCTTTTAAAATGAGTAACAGTACGTGACTCACGGGGAGAAGGAGAAAGAGAGAGAAAGTGCCCTGGCGGGTCTCGTCACACCGCGCCCCTTCCCTAGCCCTCTCCTCCGTCAGGATCGGGGCACCTGTGCAGACGCCTGGCATTTTCCAGGTCAACCCCAGGGACCTGAGCCATGGTCAGCCGTGTGGCTCCCAGAACTGCAGTCCTTCACTCTGGACTGGGACGACCTGGGCTGGCCTCTGTTTTCCTAATCTACAACATAAATGTGTTGCTCTAACAATTAGGTTATTTACAAAAAAGAACGTGGGGTTCAGGTGGGATGACTCCGAGGGGCCCTGGACGCGCCCGAGTGGCAGGACTGCCCTGTGCGTGGCTTACGGCCACACTGCATTGCGTGGTGGAGCCCAGACACTGCACAGTAGGAAAGGAGTCTAATGTATATCAGTTATACCCCCAAAAGAAAAAAGAAAAAAACTAAGTGTCTGCTGGGCCGGGGGAAGGCTCCGAGGCGTCCTGCTCTGGGCCCTCCCTGCACCATGCCCAGAGGTGACTCACATCAGCTCTCCGGACTTCAGCAAGCAGATTTCAGCATCCTGTCCCACGGGCCCGTCTTCGGTGTCCTCGGGGGTTAGTGAGTTTGACGTAGTGTCCCTGGAATGCCACAGAGAAGAATATAGTTGTTCAGTTATCAGCACACACAAAAAGCTACGGGTTGCTGCCGTTAGTTTAAACACGAAAGCCCTCTCAGGTCCCAACAGAGAAGCCCCGAACAGGGATGACCGGGGAGTGAGTATCGAGTCTTTGCTTCGGACCTTTTTTTTAAAAGGTTTTTGCCATAGGGCACATGCACTCGCCAGAGAGCGACAGACAGTGACAGTTTTAGGGAAAGTAAGAAATTGCCCCCTGCGGGGGATGTTCACAGTCCCTTCTCCACTCTCCTCCTGGGATCTTGGGCACATACACCCAGAGTGATGTTGATGCCACCTGGTCTGGGACTCGAACCACGGTCTGCCATGTGGGAGTCCAGTGACATAACCACTACACTATCAGCTGGCCCCCATGCTTCCTATCTTTGATGGTCGGATTTGTGGGTGATTATGCGCACCAAGCAGCAGGAAGGGGGGTGGTTCCCTCAGTAACCAGCCAAGGGCTCTTAAAAATGTTCAGCGGAAACGAGGGACCACATCACAGGTCGAGGCAGACCTTACTTGCCAACGAGCTCATCTCTGGAACAAGGCGACAGAGCGTCTCTGCTGGTGAGTCCTTGTCTTGCTCTCTATGTTTAAGAGGAGGCAGGGAAGGCTCCAATGGTACCGCCGGGCAGGGGGGTGCGGTGTAAAATGCCCAGGGGATGGAGCTCAACTGCTCTCCACTCCAACTCCACCGCTATTATTTGTCGCCTTGTGGATTACATTTGAGAAACGCAAACGCGAAAACTACCGGCCACGGTTCCAGAACCTTGTGAGCTTCTCAGCTGCCAGTCTGGCGGTTGACAGAGAAATCACTCACCAGAGAGCTGGGGGTAGGGGACAGCATAGCCACATCTGCATTTGTTCACAGATTGATCTCTCTCTCTCTTGCCATTTCTTTTGCTTTTTAGGAGACAGATTGTTATCTCAGATCATCGCTTTCTTTTTTCGGTATAAATTAGTAAACCACTGTAGAAACTTTGGAAATAGAGTTAAGTGTAAAGGGCAGTCATTCTGAGCAAACATGTGACTTAGACACAAGCTGGAATGGGGTTCCGTGGGCAGTTCAATCTGCAAGGCTATGAATGCCATTAGCATGTGAATATGCAAGCTGCCTGTGTCTGAGAAACTGTAGGGCAGTTTAAAGGAAGTTATGAGTGTTCATCAGAATTTGCCCAAGAAGATTAGAAAAACTTACATAGAACTATGTGGCAATCAGGTATCTTCACATCTTCAGTCGATTAACATCTGAAAACAACTGCTTTGCATTCCATTTTCCCTCCCCCTATTTTCTACCCTTTAAAAGAATAAGCCTGGGGTGGTTTGGGCCACAGCTGCCTCTGTCAGAGAAGCAGAGATCATCCTGGTATGTCTATGTGTGTTTACTTTACATTTATTCTATAATCCACAGCCCCCGCCCTCATCCCCACCCCCGTGCACTTAGAAAATGTGCTCAGCTGTGCGGTCACGGGAGATAAGGATCAAGGAGAGAAGGGAAGAAGGTTCCCATGACGCCACTAGTCAGATGCCAACTGCTGATAAATGCGGTCATTTTTCTTTCTTTATTTCCCTCAAGAATGATTTATTTGTTATTATTATTATTTTAACTTGACCAGAGAGAGAAGGAAAGTGAGAAAGCAAGCCACTGGGTCCAGGACTTGAACCATGGCTATTCCTGTGGGTTTCCAGGCATCTAAACCACTATGCCACCTGCTGGCTCCAAATGTGGTCATTTGTCTATATTTTTAAAATATAGTCCAAATCGGAGTCATGGATTCTTAAGCAAGGGCCCATGACACACATGCAGAGAGACTGAAGGGGTTCAGGAGCCCCAAGGAGTGAGTGCATTCCAAGGGAAGGTCTGCAGCTTTATGAGATTCTTAAAGGAGGTAATGATCAAAACAAAGATTAATCATCATGAGTTTTACTCCTTCTCGTCATCTGCTCACTGGAGCAGTAATAGCCCCGACCTGCTTTGCATATTTCCCTTGGTTCCTACTGTTCCAGCAATTGAAATAGACAGCGCCTCCTGAGTATGCTCTAAACATTTTGGCCATACCCTATTTTATGTTTGAAATACAATTTGCTTCGTCATTCATTTATGACTTGACTTTTACACTATTTCCAAAGTGGTATATAGTCCTTTCTTTTTTTATTTTTAGAAGTGACATAGGATGCAAATTATAGTGAAGCAGACCTCCATGTTGAACGCCTCTCTATATCAGAAACTTACTTTCTCCTTTTGCCTAGAGTAAACAGAGTGATTAACATTCCTACTGTCTTTGCTAAATAACCGGAAATTCCCGACCCTAGATGCCTTCAGAAACAATCACCAGTCACCAGACCTTGCCCTGAGCCACGAAGACCACTGAGATTCCCTTGTGTTTATGCAGGGACGGAACCCTGCCTCAGGGATGATTAACCTGCTTGCTCTGCTTCTGCACTGCCCCCTACCCTTCCAAGCCCACCACACCTTGTCCTTGTGAGTCATGTCATCCCGGAAAAGACTGAAATTTTGGCCTATATAAGCTCCCTTCTCCTTTCACACGGGGCTGCGGGGTTTTCAGAGACATGAGTCCCCCCATGCCACCGGCTTAATCAATAAACTCCAATAAACTGGCTATGTCTGGGTGCCCTCTTACTCCTCGCTGAGTACACTATAGCATTTGGAGGCCCCAGCGAGATCAGTACCTACCCGGTATTGGGGTGAGACATCCTAGAGAGAGCAGCCTCACTTGTTCGGGCTGCCAACTATCCAGAGAGTGCTCCAGGGGAGGCGCCCCCTAGGATTTCCTGGGTCCCCAGAACTACCTCTTCGGATTGTGGACAGCTGGCAAGAGACGCTGACTGCTCCTCCAAAAAGTTTGTGGAGTTCTAGTGTAAGACCTCTGGGGGCATTTCTTTGGGTGTTCCTGTCCTGCTCTTTGGGAGACAACCTGGTGAGTACAGGGTTGGCAAAAGAAAGCCTGAAATCTGACCTGCTGGGTCGGGGGTTTGAGTCCCTCCTCAGGCAGCTGGATGCAAGGCTGACTGCACATGGTTATAGGACCCCTACTTATATTCCACCAGACGTGCTGGAATCTGGGGGCTAGATGATAATGGATTCAATTCCCCTCTTAGCCCTTAGGCGGTTTGTGGGTAATCAGGGTCTGAGTCTCTGACAGGGTTTGAGTCCCTGGGTATTTGAGATTGTTTTGTATGTTTTTTTTTTCTTTAAGAGATTTTTGCTATAGGGTGTGTGCGCTTGCCATAAAGACAGAGAGACAGAAAGCGAGAAATCAGCCCCCAAGGGGAATGGCCACACCGCAATCCCTTCTCCTCCATTCTCCTCTCGGGATCTTGGGCACGCATGTACACGCTTCTGGAGTGAGTATAAGCCACCAGGTCCAGGACTCAAACCACGGTCCACCACATGGGAGTCCAGAGACATAGACATTACGCCAACTGCTGGTGCTGGTTTCTTTTGTTTTTACCGTTGCTTTAGTTATTTCCTCCATATCCTCCTGGGAAATATTGCTTGGTTGAGGATACTGAGTGATGGATTATTGACCTCGCATATCAAGGGGTTCTTAAGAACTGGTGATCCCTACAGTCACCCGCTGGGAATTGCCTTGTGACCATAAGAGGTATGGGTGGGGGCAAGATGTCCCGAGAGCCCCAGGGGACATCCTGACCAAAGAGCATGCTTGCCTTTTTAGAAACCCTGGAAGGCTGGAACAGGTCCTTTAGAACTCTCTTAGAATGCATGCTTAAGCCTTTCAGTGAGACATTGGTGGCAAGTTGTAATTACGGCAGCAAACTCTCCACGTAAAAACAGAGGGCCTCTTGAAAGGGGTAGGCATATCAGGAATATTCGTGCTGTAAAAACTCTAGAAGTATAGGCAACCAAAAAGTTAAAACTCACCATCCTTGAGTGTATAATTAAAATTTTCAATAAAGGGGGTTACTCTAAAGAGTATTAGTGTCAAAGTAACCCCAGGGAAATTGGCTCTTATAATCCTGATGCATGTGTGCATCCATACATGTATTATGTCCTGTTACATACTATATGTTGTATGTCTGTGTGAAAAAAGGCCTTAAAGAATTCTATTCAATTTGGTTTATAAAAGAGCACTTACACAAATTAGTGTAAGTATTTTTCAAGTTCATATAACTTTATTGAATGAGCTGGCTTCAAATGTCAAGAAAGAGATTAATAAGTGAAAGTCTTCACAATCTCCAACATAGATTTTGTCCAGGTTTTTAATTAATCAAGCGATATCATGTTTATCTTAATATAGTTGATTAAATGAAACAGCTAGAATGTATGTGTTGTGTGTTGCATTTTACATAGTGGACATCTAACAGGGAAATGAATTCATGACTAGCTTTTTCTGGCTTTAGTCTTAGTGCCAACAGAGGATCTTTGACCTCAAAGTAACTCTTGGATGTTTGCAGAGGGTCCCTGAGACATCCAAAGGGGAGATATTGGGAACCAGCAGTTAGCGTAATGGCTATGTCGCTGGACTCCCATGTAGTCAACCGCGGTTCGCATCCCTGACCTGGTGGCTTAAAACTCACACCGGGCGCGTGTGCGTGCATGCCCAAGATCCCGAGAGGAGAATGGAGGAGAAGGGATTGCGGCGTGACCATCCTCCCTGGGGGGTGATTTCTAGCTTTCTGTCTCTATGTCTCTCTCTGTCTGTCTGGCAAGCGCACGCACCCTATAGCAAAAACCTCTCAAAAAAAAAAAAAAGGGAGATGTTAAACCAATCAGGAGTATTCTTTATGTGTTAGATAAAAATGGAAAGGATTGTCAAATTACGTAATTCTAATTTTCTTGGCATTATATTTGAGGTCTATGTATAAATATGTTATGTACTTCTATGTCTATATATGCATTGTGTTCTAAAATAATTTGAGATTCCCAGGAATTAATGGTGGGCTATTATGTTAAACTGGTATATATAGCCACTTACTTTGTCAGTAATTTGCATTTTTGTCAGAGCATTGACTATGGCTATAATCCTAATGTTAATTCCTTTGGGAAATTCACAAGGAGGATGGAAAGAGAATGTGCCCTTACAAGACAGGGTTCTAAACAATCTGGTCACTTAACTGGGTAAAATCTTCATTTTCTATGTAAACTGATTGTTTTTCTAAACTGTTAAGCCAAAATTAACCAAAGAAAAATAAGAAAATGTTTAACAAAATTGGATTTTAAGTAGCCAATGCAATGCACCTGAGTTAAAGAGGTAAAATCGGTATAAAGGGAGATAAATCCAATGTTAAACGTGGACTCATGGAAACATTATTGCCTGGTTCCCTCTGAGTCCTCCTCATAATTCTTGTTGTTAAGCTAACATGCTTTAGCTATTCCTATTAGAGGTCTTTACATTTTATCAAAAATAGTGAGAGGGTCTATTAATAAGATTGTTGAGTTCTACATTGAAAAAGTTGCTAAACAAATTTTGTTATTGTTTGTACATGTTCATAAGCTGCTGGGGTGTGCTAAAAGTTAGGGCTGCCCAAAACCAAAACTTGCGATCAATATAGATGCATGAAATCCTATTTTACAAGCTGAATAGCTCCTCTAATGACATCAAATCTCCCAAGGTGGAGGAAGAAAAGGTAAGAATGGGTGGTTATTAAAGATTACGTGTATCTGGGACGGCAGATAGAAAACGCGTGGAGGCTAGAGCTCCAGGCCGCCTTCTCCCCCAGCCCCTGGCCTCCGTGTGCTCCTTCTGTTTCTTTCAGTCAGGCCTCTTCCCACTGGACTCTCCCCTTAGTTAAATGATCAAGAGGTCTAGCTAGAAAAAATAAGAGTTTACCTAAGACTGCACTCTCCGGCTAGGCCTTTTGCATAGGCGACAAGGTAGATGCCTTGTAAAACCTGTAAACTGGGCTTGGCCGTCCCGGCAGTACTCGGGCCCTCCCGGCAGTACTCGGGCGCTCCTTGCAGGATCTATTGAAACTCAGGTTCACTTCTCGGTGTAGGACAACTTAGAACAGAGGGGCAGAGAAAGAGCAGGCTGCTGCTGACTCATGGGCGGTTACAGGGGCCTCTGGTAGTAGGCTTCTTGGCCCATGCCCGTTAAGTCCTCTATTGACCGTGCCTGTAATTTTGACTTTCGGCTAGTTGACTCAGTTTTCTTACCTGATCCCTCTCCTTCGAGACGAAAGTTGTTAAATATTAAATGCTAATTACCTCTGGCCCTAGAGCCAAATACACCAGCACTGCCCCACCAGGGCGACTCTCCTTAACAGATACTTGAGACTCAAAAAGGGAAAAGAGTATGATTTCTGTTTTGCAAGAAATTTGGTTATTTCCCTAAGTACCTAGCCAAATGTCATGCTGCTTCTGTAAACTGCTTGCATTGTCTTGGACCTCCTGCAAGCACTGAAGCTAGTGGCTGGCTGCCCACCAGGAAAATGGGCCCAAGCCAGTCCGACCAGACACTCCTGCGCGTGAACAACGGCCCGGCAACGGGAGACCGTGACATGAGCCCAAGTCCGTTACACTGGACTTTACATTCGGTGAACTTCTTGCCCTGCCCTCTAGCTGAGACCGAGAAATCAATGATTTGGCGTCCGTAAAGGAGAATGGGGAACGAAGCCGACCTCCACGTTGAACGCCGCTCTATATGGGAAACTCACTTTCTCCTTTTGCCTAGAGCAAACAGAGTGATTGACATTCCTACTGTCTTTGCTAAAAGATTGTGAAATTTTGGCCTATATAAGCTCCCTTATTATTACTTTTTTTTTTTTTTTGGAGAGGCTTTTGCTTTCTTTTTTTTTTTTTTTTTGGAGGGGTTTTTGCTATAGGGCACGTGCACTCACCAGAGAGACAGACAGAAAGCGAGAAATCACCCCTGAGGGGGGATGACCACGCCGCAATCCCTTCTCCTCCATTCTCCTCTCCGGATCTTAGGCACACATGCACACGCGCCTGGCATTAGTTTAAGCCACTGGGTCCGGGACTCGAACCATGGTCGACTACATGGGAGTCCAGCGACGTAGCCATTACACCATCTGCTGGTCCTGCTCCCTTCTCCTTTCACACGGGGCTGCAAGGTTTTAAGAGGTATGAGTCTCCCCATATGCCAGCTTAATAAGCTCTGATAAATCTGGCTGTCTGGATGCCCTCTTCCTTCTTGCTGAGTAGGGTAATCATCCCTAAGGGTATGTTCCATCCCTGCCTAAACACAATGCATCGTAATGGTCTCCATGGCGCTAGGCGAGGGCTGGTGACCGGGGACTGTATCTTAGGGCAGTTAGGAGGAGTAGGGTTTCAAATTTAGCGAAGACAATATAACAATATGTTTTAAACTTCTTCTACGAGGGACGGTGACCTGTAATACTCTGCACCGAACCGCCCATTCCCAGTATGTTAATAAAGTATCAACGTTTACCCAAGACTACAACCGGATCCGTACAGGTGCTTTGAGCAAGTGTAGGACGCCAGGGTAAGGGCCCAGCAAAAGCTGGAAAAGGAGCGTTCACAAAACGGACAGGCAGGAACTGGGTAAGTACTCATGGACAGCTGGGCACTACGCTTAGCGGAGCGAAGCTGCCTGTCTATGGTTTGTTTTCTATTTATTTTTATTATTTATTTATTTATTTCTTGAAGAGGTTTTTCCTACAGGGTGCGTGAGCTCACCAGAAAGACAGAAAGCGAGAAATCACCCCCAGGGGGGATAGCCACGCTGCAATCCCTTCTCCTCCATTCTCCTCTGGGACCTTGGGCACGCACGCACATGTGCCTGGTGTGATTTAAGCCACCAGGTCCGGGATTCGAACTGCTGTTGACTACATGGGAGTCCAGCGACATATACCAACTGCTGGTCCCTGCCTGTCTGTGTTTTAAGTGATGAAAAAAAGTGTTCCTGTCCCTACGTGAAGCAGGAACACAGTGACCTACTTAGCCTAGCAGCCCGGAAAGCCTGTGGGCCGGCACCAGCTGGCTGACCTATCAGCTGTGAGATCTAATGTTCTGTGGTCTGGGGGCAGGGCCTGTGCACCGCGTGGTCTTACCCTAAAGGCAAGGCCCTTCCTTGGCCTTGTGGGGAGGAAGGTGCATGGGTCCCAGCACAGGTGGGGACGGGCACACACCAGGAAGAAGAGCCTCTGAGTGCATGGGAAAAGAGAGATGGCCGCGCCTTCCACTGCACTACCCGGTCCAGAGAGGGTCCTGACTTCCCTAAACCGCGCAGAGATCCTGCCCAAACACCTGCTCTCTTAGAACATTCTGAGGGGCTGCCAGGGTGAGCCCGAGCCAGCGGTGGAGCATCTGCGGGTCGGCGCCAGGCCAGCCCGGTGTGCCCAGCCGATGTCGCAGCTGCCCCTGCTCCCACAGCACAGGCTTCGTCCCCTGTGACCGTCTGGGGTGTTGCCTCGGACCCCTGGGCAAGAAAGGCAGACATCGGGGCCCTGCTACAAGCCTTCCTCTGGCAGTCCACCTCGGGGCCTCGTCCCATCGGTCCCATCAGGTCTTCCATTTGTTAAAGACCCCCTAAGCCCGAGGCGTCTATCACAGGATCTAAGCCGAGTCCCTGCTGGGGAAATCTCTGTTGCTGTTCAAATGCAGTATTTCTTCATTTCTTGAGAGAAAAGGGTGGGTATCCTCGACTGGGTCTTGCCCAGCCACGTCTTCCTGGAAGAGGGGCTGGAAATCCATATTTCAGGAGATCTGCGGAGATCAAGAGGTCTTCGGGAAGTGAGGCTCTGCAGGTGGAAAGTCATGAGCCGTGGCGTGATACAGGGGGACGTGGGGGGGCATGACGACAACTGCCCGGTCCCTGGTCAGGAAGTGGCCCGGCCAGTGCTGGGCAGACACGGGCCCAGCTGTGCGACTGCCCCCTTCAGCCACCTTTTAAAATCTCCGCAGCTGGGACCAGCAGCGTAACGGCTCTGTCGCTGGACTCCCATGTAGTCAACCACGGTTTGAGTCTTGGACATGCTGGGCACGTTTGCGTGCGTTCCCAAGATCCTGAAAGGAGAATGGAGAAGAAGGGATTGCGGTGTGGCCAACCCTCCTGGGGGGGTGATTTCTCGCTTTCTGTCTCTCTGTCTCTCTCTGTCTGTCTGCCAAGCGCACACGCCCTCAAAAAAAAAAAAAAAAATCTCCGCAGCTGAGGGTCTGCCGAGGTCCCCCTGGAAGGGTGCTTGCTTGATGCTCATGATGAACAGAGAAGGGGATGAGCTGGGGGCAGCTGCCGTGAGGCCTTAGAAGTGCTGGGGGACACTGCCTTCCCCACAACTGAGCAACCGTTCATGAAGTGTGCATGCGGTTCAGTCACGAGCTGTCTCCTAGACAGGTGAGGCCCTGAGAGGCTGTCTTGTTTTTAGTTTTGCTATAGGGTGTGCTCACCTGAGAGACAGACGGAGAGAGGGAATGTGAGAAATGATGAAATCACCCCCGGGGATGGCTATACCACAATCCCTTCTCCTCCATGTCCTTATTGGGATTTTAGGTGTGCACGAGCGCGCGCACGCACACACAAAACCAGCACGATTTTCTAGATGCCGGGACCAGGACTTGAACCGCAGTTGGCCATATGGGATGCAGCCACCTTAACCTCCCTCCACAGGGGGCCTGGGATTTTAGGAGTTTTAGGGCTAATGAAGAGTCCTCCGTCCTGTCTGGGCCATCCTTCCTCAGGGTGGGCTCCCTCTATGGGCCAGCCAGAGCGCACCACGGGTGGGCTTGGTGGTCAGTGGGACAGTGGGCAGACCGGGAGCCACCGCAGCCCTGAAAGCACTCCTGGGTTTTGACTCGCAGGTCCTGCTGGGAACAGGCATCATGGAAGACTACAACTACGAAGACGGGGTGTTCTCGAACGCTTCCAGCGAGAGCAGACAGGAGCACCAGCGCTTCCTGCAGTTCCGCAAGCTCTTCCTGCCCTGCATGTACCTGGTGGTGTTCGTCTGCGGGCTGGTCGGGAACGCCCTGGTGCTGGTCATCTACGTCTTCTACCAGAAACTCAAGAGCCTGACCGACGTGTTCCTGATGAACCTGCCCCTGGCCGACCTGCTGTTTGTCTGCACGCTGCCCTTCTGGGTCCACGCGGTCCTCCACGAGTGGGTCTTTGGCCAGGCCATGTGCAAGCTCCTGCTGGGCGTCTACACCATCAACTTCTACACGTCCATGCTTACCCTCACCTGCATCACCGTGGACCGCTTCATGGCAGTGGTGCAGGCCACCAAGGCCTACAACCAGCAGGCCAAGCGGCTGGCCCGGGGCAAGGTCATCTGCGTGCTCACATGGGTGACCTCCCTGCTGGTCTCCCTGCCGCAGGTCATCTACGGCAGCGTCTCTGCTCTCGACAGGCTCGTCTGTGGCTACCAC